GCCTTAGCCTTGCGAAGAATCCTTCTGCAACGGGCCTCCTCCTCCCGATATACCCTTTTGTCTATTTTCGCCAGTACCCATTTCCTACGGTGGTTCCTCTTTCGTCTAATCCCTCTAACCACCTCCTTTCGCATCCGTGGCGGCAGTCTCCTCCACCTCCCCACCTTACTGACTAAAGTTATCGTAAAGGCTTGCACCTCCAAAACCTCCCTTTTGAGTGCTATCCACCCCTCCTCAACTCGCCTACCTTCCAGTAACCTATCCCAGGAGACTTTCCCCAGTCTGGCCTTCAGTTGGCCAAAGTTGGCCCTCTTGAAGTCCCAGCTTCTGGTGCTCGACCTGCTGCATATCCCCAGTCCCCTGATCTCAAAGCGAAGGCTGGAGTGATCACTCGTGTCCAGAGCTCCCCTAATCTGTACTTCATCTATCAGCTCCTCCCTATTGGTCAAGACCAAGTTAAGGATGTTTCCCCCCCTCGTTGCCTCTCTGTGTGAAAAACCCTCCCTCTGTAGCTTCTAGGAAGCAACATGACCTGGCTGTCACCGCCGAATGAGTCTCCCAACTAATATCCGGGAGATTGAAATCTCCCATAATTACTGTGTCTCTCCCCCGAGATATCCTTAGAATCTGTCCTGTCAGGACGTCATCCAGGGTCTCAAGTTGACCTGGAGGGTGATAACATACCCCCACTGTCAAGTCTCTTTCCCTGTCAAAACCCCTAAGTTTCACCCAGACTGCCTCTACCGAATCCCCATCTGTGCTTCATTCTATCTCACTGCATCCTATCCCTTCCCTGATGTATAAAGCCACACCCCTACCTCTCTTTCCCTTCCTGTCCTTTCTAAAAAGGTGATACCCTTCTATGTTCACATTCCAGACTTGCCTTTCATCCCACTAAGTTTCTGTGATTCCCACCAGATCATACCCTCCTATTCCCAGGAGAGCTTCAAGCTCTTCCTGCTTATTACCCCATGCTTCTAGCATTGGTGTACATGCACCTCAACTCCTTCCCACCGCTTCCTTTCCTTGGAGTTCCCAGCCTCCTCCTTCCTCCCATCCTCCCTGATACCTGGCCCCTCTCTGTAGGAGTCCCTGCAGTACTTCTAAAACCCTGCTCCCAGAGCCCTGATCCTCTCCCCACACTTGTCCAGTGCAAACACGTTACTGGGGAACCTAAGCCCCCCCCCCCAGCTCATTTTAAATTCTTCTGAACGAAGCTCGCTAGAGCATCTCCAAAGCACCTTTTCCCCATCCTCGTGAGGTGTAACCCGTCCCTTGTCAGAACTCCATTGGCAAGAAACTGTCGGGTGTCGAGGAACCCGAAGCGTTCCTTCTGGCACCACACCCTAAGCCAGTCGTTCACCTCGGAGACCCTCCTGTCCCTTCCTGGCCCAAATCCCCGGACCGGTAGGATTGACGAGAAGGCCACTTGGGCCTTTAGCTTCCTGAGTTTCTTCCCCAAGGCCTCGAAGTCCCTGGTTGTCCCAACCACACCCTGCCTGGCCACATCGTTTGTGCCCACATGGATCACCAGGAGCGGCTGGTGACCTCTGGAGCGAACAAGACGCTCCACTCTGTCCTTCACATGCTGGATGCGTGCGCTCGGCAGGCAGCAAACCTCCCTTGTCTCCAGGTTGGGGCAGCACACCGCTGCCTCAGTGCCCCTCAGCAGGGAGTCCCCAACAACAATTACCTGCCGCCATACCTTCCCGGTGCTGGTGGGCGGCTGTGCCCTGGCCCTCGCCTCTCCTGCAGCGGCTCCCTTGCCGCCTCTTGTCCCAGGCTGGGAGTCCTGCTGGTCCCCCAAGGCCTCATCAGCCCCAGCCTCTCCAAGTGGAGAGAACCTGTTTCCCAGCTCCAGATTTGTGCCAGGAGAAGGAGGTGGCTATGCTGGCCTCCTCCTCCTGTGGGTGACATACCTCCATGTCTCTGCAGCTGCTCCTCCCGTGGCCTCTCCCTCAACCCTCCGTCCAGAGGGGGGCTGCTCCGGGGGGCCCTGGAGAGCTCTCTCGGCCCTCAGGCACCTCACCTCCTCTTCTAGCAGGGTCACCATCTTGCACCGAGGGCAAGTGTATCCCTGCCTCTCCTGGGGGAGAAGGGCGAACATGTTGCGGCTCTCACAGTGGAGAGCAACACCCATGACTCCCGCCAAGGCCCTCTCCTGGTCTGCCATTGGTATCCCTTCCAAGACCTTACCTTGGTCCCCTGCCTTGTTTGTCCTGCAGTTCCTCTCACTCGCCCAGTTCTCCCAGACAAAAACCCACTCGCACACACACACAAGGATAAAATGAATTTAAATTGGAGGGGAAAAAAAACCTCTGTGTCCCAGGGAATGGAGTCCCTGGACAGCCCGGGCCGCAGCTAAGGGACGCAGACAAGGGACGACGCCAAGAGGCAAGAGCCAAAAAGAAAGGTCCCTGGAATATATAAATAGTTGGATAAATCCATAAATAGAAATCTTTCCTTTCTGAAAATAGAAAAAGAAGACTTCAGAACAGCATCATGCAACTCTAGCATTTTCTGTTTTGTGCTGAAAGAATATGTACATTTATCCTATCATTTTTTTTAGTTTGTAATGTTATAATCAATGGTTGTGTAGTAGCAGATGTAGTGAGTAGGGCAATTCCATACATGACTGTCTTTCTTGCCAAAGCACTCTCTGAATTATGGGTGAAAGCTCTGATGCACTGATGTTCTGGCTGCTGCTCAACTCATGCAATCCTTTGAATGCAATTTATGGGAAATGCCAGTTACCACTGTTAACGGCTGCTGTTTATCACAGACGGTATTATTTGTATTTCATTGCCACTTGACCTCACTGTTTATAATATTTTCTCTGCATATATGTACATGTACTTGCTGGCTTATGGTAAATTTTCATGCATCTGATGAAATGGCCTGTAGCCCACAAAAGCCCATGCCCTAATAGATTGGTTTAGTCTTCAGATTGCACTTTCTTCTTGTTTTGCTGCTGACATTAATAAAGTAGTACAGTCTATTCTGACTACTTCTTCAGCATTGCTATTTCCTAGCACTGTTCCTTAAGAAACATTTTGTAACTGGAGATCTCAAGTATTACACCTTGTACCTTATTGATGTAAAATGTGTTCTACTATTGGCCATGCCCAGTTCCAGCTACAGTGAACACCGACTGTACCCTCATTCTACTAGTAACTTGAAACAGCTGTAGCTTGATCAACTTTGGCAGCACTGTAGAATAGGGTTGTAATTCTTGAGACTACAGTATGTTTGATCACGTGATTACAGGCTTCAGATAAGAATTGTGTGAAAGTAGCACTAGAACCTCCTGCTGAGGAACATTAAATCCATGCTGGTGACATGGCTTGGCTGCTTTCTTTTTTTACATCATTGAAATTTATTACTCCATTTGGTGATTAATTGCCACCTTTTATAGGAAATGTTGATTCATGATATGTTCAAAATGAAAGTGTAATGTAGGATTACAATAAAGCAAACTTTAAAGCTCTCCAGTCTTGTTGGGTATAAGGGACACTTCCTGCATATATTTGATCAGCTATAGAGATTTATAGCTGTTAACTGCTAAAACCTAAAGGACTGCATGTTTTATATCTTGTGTCCCAGTTCTATGATTCCTTCAGGCCAACAAGGAAGTAGGTAGCATCTATCAGATGAAGGCAAGAAGAAAAAGCACCTTGGATAGCTCCAAGTAGATCCTGCTTGTTTGAACTTTTTCCTGTTAAAACCACAGCCAACTAGTACAGAGTCCTTGCCTTTTTTAATTTTTTGGCCTAAGATTGTTGCTGTCACTGTTAACAATAATCACGTTCCTTATTTCTAAGTTCAGATGTGGATCCTTATATAGCCAAATAGTACTATCCATTTAGGAGGGTATTAGTGTCCATGGAATGACTGACTGGGTGTGTGTATATGGAATGGAGTGTTACTGAAAAGAGCATGGCTGGCTGGCTTGGCAACTGGAACACTGAACAGGAACATAGAACTCTGCAACATTTTGTTATGGGTCTCATATGTACATTTTATTATTGCTTTAACATTAATGAAGCTCAGTTACCCCTGAAAGAAATTAATTTTGGGACAGGTTTGTTTTCAGTGATAGTGACTTGCTGTAAATCACTTCACATAATTTTTGAGGATGAGCAGAAAGCTGTGGAGAACACTTTTTCTTTATCATGTGGTAGTCCCTGCTTTCCGTGTGCACTGAAATCTGTGTAGAACTGTAGAGGCCTGTCTGGTTTCAAAAAGCAAGAATGGTGTAGCTTGTTGGTGTTGTGGTGACAGCGCAGTTCCATCATATGTTGGGACCCTTCTAATGGTTCATTTGCATTTGAGTACCTTTGCATGTTGACTACTAGTCAGTTCACAGTGGAGAAGAGGAAAGTTATCTAAAAGCTCTTATACATTCACTGCACACTCTTTACTGCCCGATAGGCTCTCTGTTTGAAGCATGTTGAGGAGAGAAGTTATCCAATTAATTACTAGCCTTAGTTTATTTCTCATGTGTGACTAGAGAAACTAAGCTTGCCCTCTACAAATACACATGCCAAATACGTGTTCATGGTCATCCTCATCTTTTTTGTCAATGGCAGAGAAGTATTTCCAAGACAATTCTAGGCATGCATGTTGAGTTTAGATTAGTAGAGCTCCTTCAGCTTGGAGCCCTGCAGATGTTTTGGACTAGGACTTCCTTTATTCCTGATAAGCATCTGGGCTGTCACTGACAAGAGCTGTATTCCAAGATACCTGCAGAGCACCAGGTTGGAGATGATGGTTCAAAGGGAGCTTGTGAACAGTATGCATGCCGAGTACCACCTTGGAAGCAATCTTCTCAGCGCCATCCTAGGCTCTTTAAAATTACAGATTAGCATGCATACAGCACTTGAATATAAACTCTTTGCCATGACAATTCTCACCATGGTTTGTACCAAGTACTGCAAAAATTATTTCACCTGCGTCTGAGCACACAGCATTTAATATAAAAATTTTGTATGTCTTTTCAGAATTATAGATCAGCGGTTTGAGAGAATTTCATATTTTGTCTTTGGAGATTTCAACTTTCGACTGGATGCCAAATCTGTGGTAGAGGTAGGATCTTCTCTTTTCTTTACATCTGAATCCCATTTCCTTGATTTTAAAAAGAATGCTTTAAGGGACTTAACTTGGTATTTTGCATGAAAATGTTTCTCTATCAGACAAGTTAGTCATGACCAACATGATGTTGTATTTGAGTGTTCTCTCTCCCTGTTGTATTGTTACGTGTCTAAACTGCAAGTGGTCAAAAGCAAATTGCAGCACTGTGTTGCTGTTTTTAATCCATGCTTCACTAACAGAGAAGGTTTCGTTTCTGATGCTGTTCAGTCTCCATGAAAATCTGAATTAACTGGTTTGGTAGGATGAAGATTTTTTAAAACTGCAATAACATTCAGGAAGTACTGGAGAAGAAAGGAGAAGTTCTGAGCAGTGAATGTCCTGATAAACCTGGCTTGTCTGTGCATGAATGAAAAGTGTATTTGCCACTCTCTTTTTGGACAAATGTAATATGATTTGGGAATAACAGGTATGACTACTGAGTCAGAACTTGCAGCAGCATCCAGTAAGACAGCAGCACTAATATACATTTTATTGCAGGAACATAAGAAGTTACAGGCACAATGCCAGTAGCATTAGATTGTCTCTGGAATACCTGTTACACAAGTGGCGTTGTGATAAAAGTTCTTTATGCTAGCTGCCCTTCTTCTCAGTGTGTTTCTGCTTGTTTGGGTCAGATGTGTCCAGCCCACAAAATTGTTGCTACTCTACAGCCACGTTTCCAACTAACATATCAGGCTAACACAGCCCTGGAGTTGACTTTAGAACAGACCAAAACTGGATTGGTCACAGTTGATAATAATACCACAGTGAACTAGAGAATACATGTCTGAGATGATATTCACACTTAATTGCTGTGCTATACCATCTCTTGGCATGCCAAATATCTCAGTCTTCCATGCTGAATGATTTTTTCAGTGGTTTAAACTTAGCATAATCAAAAGCATAAAAGCATAATCAAAACTATTTTTCATATAGTGTTTAATTACCTGCCATAAATTTAAATGTGGATTTAAAATTAAATTTAAAAATGTGGAAGGCATGTGAGCAAAGCTTCTCCCCCTTTCCTTCCTTCACCCTTGCAATAAACTCCCAGGCAGTATGTGAATCGCACAACAAATATCCTGTAGTGGAAAATTCTCGTAATGAGCTTCCCCAGTCCTGATGTGACTCTTTTCATTTCTTGGATGCTTTATGAACATTAATTAAAATTTGTTACATCCATTCATCTAAGTTTTAGAGAAGTACAGTTTACACATGTATCAAGTTTTTACTCATCTCAGTTATAGCAAGCCCATAAAGAAGAATGACAGATCCTTTACACTGACTTAAAGAGAAACAGTATATTATGGCCCAACTTTGTTTTTGTGATATGCAATACCTCTCTGATTATTTTATTATAATAGGCACACTCAGTGAGTAAGCTGTGTTAAGGAGTTCTGGGAAGCTAAATGGCCAGGGTTCCATGAACACAGTTAGAAGCTTGCCAGCAGCAGGAGTCTGTCCCTTCGCTATCTGCCAAGTCTCCAACAAAACCCTTGCCAGTATTTATTATTATTTATTTGGAACACTTATATGCCGCCCCATTCACAAAAGTCTCGGGGCGACTTCCAATACAAATAAATATACAATTACATTAAAAATCTGGAGACATCCGGCATAGATATAAAATCAGTAAATAAGTTCAACAATTAAAATAACGTTTAAATAAAAAGGTCTTGGCCTGGCGCCGAAAAACAAATAACGACAGCGCCAGGCGGACCTCTCTGGGGAGCGTATTCCATAAGTGGGGCACCACTGCAGAGAAGGCCCTCCTCCAGGTACTCACTCGCCTAATATCTTTCACAGAGGGTTCCCAGAGAAGGGCCTCTGCCACCGATCTCAAGGGACGGGATGGCAGATATGGACGCAAGCGCTCCTTTAGATAACCAGGTCCCAAGCCTTTAAGGGCTTTATAGGTGATAACCAGCACCTTGAATTGGGCCCGGACTTCAATGTGGAGCCAGTGAAGCTGACGGAGGAGTGGGGTTATATGAGAACAACACCCAGTTCCCGTCAGCAACCTGGCAGCTCTGTTTTGCACCAATTGAAGTATCCGGACCGTCTTCAAGGGCAGCCCCACATAGAGTGCATTACAGAAGTCTAATTGGGAAGTTACCAATGCATGTGTCACTCACCAGGCAATCGTTCTCCAGGAAGGGACGCAGCTGATGGATCAGCCGAAGCTGAAGGAAAGCGCTCCTCGCCACCGCTGTTGCTTGAGCTTCTAATGACAGCTCTGGGTCGAGGAGCACTCCCAAGCTGCGGACCTTGTCCCTAAAAGGGCGTGCAACCCCATTTAGGACAAGGTCCAGGTCCCCTATCCCGAAGCCTGAACCACCTACCAACAGGACCTCCGTCTTGTCTGGATTGAGCTTCAGTTTATTGGCCCTCATCCAGCCCATTACCTTGGCCAGGCACCGGTTCAGCACAGCCACTGCCTCACCTGGATTGGTTGAAAACAAGAGGTAGAGCTGCATATCATCAGCATACTGATGATTCCGCAGCCCACACCTCCTGATGACCTCTCCCAGCGGTTTCATGTAGATGTTGAATAGCAAAGGGGACAAAATGGATCCCTGCAGAACTCCATGGCATAGCTGCCATGGCGCAGAGCCATAGTCCCCCAGCACCACCTTCTGGAGGAACCACTGCAAAGCCGTGCCTCCAACTCCCAATCCCGCTAGCCTATCCAGAAGGAAACCACGGTTGATAGTATCAAAAGCTGCTGAGAGGTCCAGGAGGACCAACTGGGTTGTACTCCCCCTGTCTCTCTCCCTGCACAGGTCAGTGGGAAAGACCTGGCCTTTATTTTCCTCCCCTTTCCTTTGTGCAGGAAGGGAAGGGTGCTTTTCTGTCATGCTGCTGACAATGCATCCTGCAAAAACCTAATGGGAATAAAGGGACACCACTGCTTTTTTCCTCTGGAAAGGTGAATACTTTATTTATTTGGAACATTTATAAGCCGCCCCATTCGCAAAAGCCTCGAGGCAGCTTCCAAAACAAATAAACAACTATACAATTACATTAAAAATCAGGAGAAATCCCGGCACAAATATAAAATCAATAAATACATTTAGCAATTAAAATAATGTTTAAATAAAAAGGTCTTGGCCTGGCACCAAAAAACAAATAACGAATACTTCTGTGTGCCACTGAGCTTTTGTAGGACATGTAGGTATCAGCAGCCTAGCACAAGGGCAAATCCATTCCTCTAAGTTCTTTTCATTCCTTACTGATTTCAAGAAAGTTCAGAGTTATGAATAATTGCAAATGGTGAGTGATGTTTGTAAACCAAGCCTAGCATCTGTTTCTCTTTAGCATGGAATTTCACTTTACGTCAGTCCCAGGGACTCTGACATTTCATTACCTTTGGTGCAGTGGAGTACCATGGCACAGCACTGTCTTTGTGGTTGGCACCCACACTACAGTGGCGTATGCAGTTGGAGCTGGCCCTCCTTTCAGGCAGAGTGAAACAGCTGCCTCAGGCCAGAGAATCTGGCTGTCACAAAACAGAAGAGTGTTATTTATTTTGTTATAATGGTATTTCTTTCCTGACAAGAATGGGGAGTATGGCTTGTTTTGTTGCTGCTCCTTTGCCTCATGTATCAAAAATACCTCAGAGCAAAATGCTGTGGGCTGGCCCTGGTGGTATCATGTAGCCAACCTGAATCATACTGGGGCCACGGTAGGTTCAAAGGCTGGGTTGCAGTAGGGGAACAAGGGATACTAATGTTGGAAGTCCCACAGAATTCAGCCTTGGTATGGGCTAATGAGTTAGTTCTACAGCTTACTGGAGGGAAGTGCCTTTCCCATGGTAACCGTGTTGCAACAGTAACAACATAAAAGAGCTCTTAACTCATTGCACTTAAAATATGTATCTAAATATAACACATTTTCACTCTTAATCTGTTTGCTTCTTCCATTTAAAAAGGTTTCCTCATGAGATGACACCAGCAAATATTTAAGTAGTGTAAGAAATTCCAGTTGCAGATTTGTTGCATTAAACTACTAGGTGTGCCTATCTAAACAGCAACACAAGGCAGTATATTTCCAAAGACATTCTCCACAGAGCTAGTAAAAGAGAAGATATATAGGTTGTTTCAAATAGATGTTCTATGTTCATATAGAGTGACATAAATCAGCTGGCACATTATTGGCCGTATTAAATTATAATTAAGATGTAATAAATCATTATTCGAGGCTTTAGGAGGTGGGGAGATTACTTGAAGCATTAATGGGCCTTTACTAGAAAATTCTGGTTCACTGTTATGGGTTCATTCATTTGTATCCACCAGAGTTCTGTCAGAAGACTTGATGCATTCTCCTGCTAAACAATTAGACGTTGTTATTGTTAAATTATTTTTTAGGGTGCCAGCCCTGTGCAGATTTAGACAGGAACAGTTAGCTAGGGAATTCTGGGACTTTTTTTCTTTCTTACATTTTTAGACACCTTTTTGAAAACAAAACAAAAATCCTCAGGGCAACTTGCAAGAAAAGTTTTAAATTCAAATTTTAAAACAGCTAAAACTTCAGTGATGATGATACTCTTAGTCCAGTGCCAAAAAGATGGCAATGTTGGGGTCAGGTGGGTCTTGCAGTGGAGTCCATTCCATACTTTGGTGAAGGGGACTTAGTTGCCACCCAGAAAAGTACTGTAAGATGTTTTGCTAATATGGTTACAGTTAGAAACATAGAAGCAGAGCAAGTTAGAAGGGGGTCTCCCGGGCCATCCAGTCTGACCCCTTGCTCCAACTGACTCTGCTCATGGCGTGTCTACCATGTTGTTGTTTCTGTTTGGGCTATATACTGATTTTAGTCTGACATCTGTTGTAACTAAAGACCTGATATTGAATGAGGTTTCTTTGCACCCTGATAGCATTTTTATTCCACAAAACCATTACCTGCATGAACTTATTAAAGTTTATGACAACATTCAAGCATAGCAGCCCTCTCTG